CGTTACCAACCTTCAAGCATTGTTTGCCGATGACGAAGCCCTCACCACCGGTTCAGAGTACTTCAGTAGCTGTAAGCCGTTTCAGAATTCTGTTACCAACTCAGTAAAGTTCAGGAGACACTTCCAGTACATTCCGAAAATCCGTTCAATGATTCTGCTGTGGTCGAATTTCAAGACTATCACACCTGTGAGGGAGGGATCTCTCTCGATGAATATGGCTATGCATCCGATAGTGACCTCGATGAAGAGGAGGAAGAGACTGACGAAGATGTACAAGACAGTGAGTGGCTCCACCCATCCTGGCACAGTATACCCACCTTAACTTGATGTTTTGAAGATGAAAGGTGTGCGGAAGTCTCTGCGGAACGAGTATCTCGAACCGCATCAATCAAGGACTCTACTACCAAAGGGGCGCAACGTATCATTCCAACCCGCAGAGTATTGGTAATGGATACGGCATTCAATACGTGCGGTTCACTAGCCTCGCACTAGGTTCTGTTACTCATTAATTTTGCATAGCTGGCGGGCTTTATTAGACTATCTGTATACTGACGAGATTGTTTTCGCACCTTTGCGATCGCAAAGCAAGTCAGCAAGACATCACAGCCTCGGCGGGGCCCCACCATGCTCACCGAAGTCTATGTATCGCCTAGCATGTAAGGTGTGTCTCGTGTAACCTTTGATATTCTCTATGTGGACTCATACTGGGGATTGTACTAGATCAAACACGATAAATTGCAGGCAAAAGCGCTTGCTGCGATACGCTCTAGTCTAACGGAGCACAACGTCCTACGGGAACTTTCTTCGTCTCTAACATCCAGGTTAGTCAGTCACGCATGCGTGCTACCATCGGGATGTTAACATGTTTTTTGAAGGTTTCCTGCCATTCTTGAGATGGAAATCGAGATCTTATTCCAGAACATTGTTGCTCCCACTATCATGAAGGACTTTCCGATGCTTATTCAAAGGATTGCTAGCGCTGGCCTCTCGCATGGGGCTGACATCCTGACCAAACTCCACGAAAGAATGTTAAAGCAGCACTACCCTACGATTTTGTCTCCTGAGGCTGCACTTGCATCTGAAAAGTATGACGACTGGGTCTAATCTGCTTCTGTGGAACCTTCACAAGTGAATTTTTTTTTTTTTTTTTTTGATCAGTGTTTATTGTCCGCTGGGGCCGCGCCCTATAGTAGACAGTTCATGCTGCGTCGTTCTGTATCTATATATGTAACTTGTTAGTGTTCGTTTGTGCTATGCAATGGCTCCCTCTTGGGGTGCATTAAGGCCAACTGAAGGCGATATGGGTTGGGGAAAGTTCTGTGCCTGGAGCGTTCGTCTCTGTTTCTCTCGTATACTATTTCTTTTTTTCCTCTCGTTCTTTATTCCTCCTCTTCTTCGTCATCGACCGGCGGGGTTACGTCTCCGAATATTGTCTCTAGGTGTTTGGACTTGGCTATGAATCTGAGTGTGGGTTTGATGCATTTTGGGTGGTTGAGTAGGTATTTCAGGTCTCGTGCGCGTGTTCCGACTTCATCTATGAGCGCGATTCTGAGTCTCGCGTATGCTGGGCATGCTATTAGGAAGTGGTGAGTGGTTTCTTCTCTATCGCATCTGGGGCACTTTGGGGTAGTAGACCTGTTGATTCTGTTGAGATGTTTGTTCAGCGGAGCATGGCCAGTTCGAAGCTGGAAAATGAGTGAGCTATGGCGCCTCGGAAGTTTGGCTATTAGGTTGGCGTAGTGTTTGGAAGGAACGGAGGGGTCTATTTTGCGGAGGCGTTCGTATCGTGGAGACTTCTTCATGACCATTATAGCTTCGTTCTTCACCTTCGCGTCGAATTGTTGTTTGGCTGCTGACTTGCTGCGGGGGAGAGGTATGGGGGAGTTTTGTAGTCTGAGTGATGCAGGGAGTTGATTGATATCTGACATCTCTTTTCTTGCAGCGCGCTTTGCGTGTACATCGGCTGCTTCATTTCCTGGGATGCCGCAGTGCCCTGGGGACCATCGTATAGTGAGTTTCCGTCGGTCGAATTCTGGAATGACGATTCTTAGGTCGTCGTGAAGGATATCCATCAGGTAATGTCCCGGCTTTGAATTGAAGGCCTGCGTCGCTAAAATTGCTGCTTGGTTGTCCGCACCTAGTGCCATCGAGTCCTTCCCTCCTGCTTCTTTCCTCAACAACTCTACCGCTAAAATCATCCCTACAAGCTCTCCCTCGTAGACGGTGTGGTTCTTGACCGAGCCGAGATGGAATCTCAAGGCATCTACCTCAACCTTTCCTCTCATTAATACCGCCGCCGCTCCCACTCCCTCATCTATCGCTGAGCCGTCCGAGTAGACGCGTATGTCCTCCTGCGCATCCTTATCTGCTTTGAGTGCGGATTCCAAGTCTTCTGCTATCTCTGTTGTCAAGTCTGGGTGCCACTTTGTGTAGTGTCGAACTGGTAAGATCTTCTCCATTCGATTTGGGTTGGTTCTGAAGGCTTTCAGCAGTGAGTGTATCGGCGAGGGGAACTTTCTAGTAGATTCGAAGTTGTGAGTAGCGCAGTTTTCGTATGCTGACTTGATGCCTTTGAATAGTGGGTGGTTCGGTGGTAGGGTTGACATTCGGAGTGTAGCGCGGTAGCAGATCTTCCTCAGTAGTTGTTGGAATGGGAGAATATTGGCGTGCGCATCCAATAAGTCTGTGGCGGTTGAGCGCATGCCGCCTGTGATCATGGAGGAGGCCATTCGCTGTACTCTCGTCATCTTTGCCGCGAAGCCTCTTGCACCTCTCCCTCCGTTCTTCTGTCCTTTGCCTTTCTCTAAGAGTCCTGCGCACCAGACATCAGCTGCGTATAGCATCTTTGGTATGACTACACCTTCATATAGCTTCCTGAGGAACCGTCCGTGAATGCCCTTCGTGGGTCTGGTCATTCTGCTACATGCCAACATGTACTTGGTCCCCTTCGCTAGTGCAAATGATGCGTGTTGCTTGAATCGTAACTCCTCGTCTACTATCACGCCGAGGAATTTGTGGGATTGGGATGGTTGAATGGTGTGTTGGCGTATAGTGATTGCTGGGCGCGTTATGGGGATTGTTTTCGTTCGGTTTGAGGGGTCTGGGGTGCGTCTTCTCGAAACACAAATGAGGGCGGTCTTGTCTAGTTCAAATTCTGCATTGTGGTCTCTACTCCAGTCTAGGGCGCCTCCAGGCTTCTCCATCATGTGCTTAAGTTTCTCGTTAGCTTCTTCGAATGTTTTACCTTTGGCTATCAGAGCTATATCGTCTATAAATCCGAGACTAAGTTCTCCGCGGGTGGGTGTGGGATCTGCGACTTCGAGTACGTCAGAATTATATATAAGAAAAGCGATCACTGAGAGGGGGCATCCTTGATCCACTCCATTTTCTACATTGAACGTTGCGGATTCATAGTCATCAAATATGAGGGTTGTTGAGCGGCTGCTGAGTCGACGTTGATACCATAAAATGTATTCTTCTGGGAATCCTTTCATTCGCATGTTGTGAAGGAGTCGCGTGACAACGATGCTGGGGAAAGCTGCTTTCACGTCCAGGAAAAGCATTGAGACATGATTATCTTTCGAGGCCCAGGCATCGGCTGTGAATTTGGTTAGTAAATGGATTGAGTCTACTGTTGATCTGCCTGGTCGTCCGCCGAAGTGGGTAGGGGGAAGAAGGTTGTGCTGTTCGGCTATATAAATTAGGTCATCAGCGACACAAGATGAGAGTACTTTCGCCATGGTGTCTAGAAGTGTTATGGGGTGATAGGCTTTGGGAAGGCTGTAGTCAGGGTGTCCGGGCTTTCGTAATACTATAGTCGAGGACTTCTTCCAATCTTTGGGGTAAATATCTAATGTGAATGTAGCTCGGAATATCGGGCCCATGAAGGGAATGAGAATATCAGCGCATTTCGTGAAAACGCAATTACACACTCCGTTAGGTCCTGGTGCTTTGAAGGGAGAAAGTTTTGCTATGGCTCTGTGGATCTGTGCGTCAGTGATGTTCTCAAATGAGCAAATGGGGGGTGGATAGTTCACATTTGGGTCGACGTAGTCGTTCTCTGGCTGTTGTCGGAAAAACATGCCGTAGAGAAGTTCACTCTTGCGCGCATTGTCTTGCGTTGCGTTCTTGGGGTCGGAGGGATTTGCTTCTGGGTCTTTTAGTGTTGTGATTCGAGTGTGAAACTGGTCATCGGGGCAGCTTGAAGCGTAGCGATGGAAGTCCCATGTACCTGCAAGTGTCAGCGTTTCGAGCCATTCTTCCCAGTGGTCCTTCTTTGCGTTCTTGATGTGTTCCGAGAGTTTGTTTCTTGCTATTCTGAGTTCTTCATGTATTGGGTCGTTGCGGTGTGAGAGTTTTCGTCTTGCTTTGTGTCCGAGTTTCTTGATGTGCTTTCGTTCCGTGTCAAGGTCCTTCGTCCACCATCTTTTCGCGTAGGGTGATTGTTTGGCTATCGGGACTTCCTCCTTTGCGGTTTCGGCAATTGCATTGATGAGTCGGGTGTAGGCGTCTTCAAATTGAGCTTGGGTTGTGATTTCTTGAGGCTGCGGGTTGGGTTCAAGTTTGATTGTTAGTTTTTCGCGAAACGTCTTCCAATCAGTTTCACGGTAGTTGAATTTCAGGATGGGGACTGTGCGTTCAGGGTTTAGATCTAGGGTGCTGATGATGGGGAAATGGTCAGTGATAACAGGGCGTAGTTGGTATTCGACAGAGCATTGGGTGAACATATCTATAATTTCTGCGGAGCAGAATACATTATCTGGCCTTGTGTGGTTTTTGGTGTTGGATGCTTCGAGGGTGGCTATGGACGGTGGGAGCGCTTGTACAAGGTTATATGCAGCTAGAAGTTCTATTAGTACATCCGCTGCGTCTAGGTTCGCAGCGGTGAAAAGGTGGTCGTTCGATGTCATTTCCCACATAGGATGATGACGGTTGAAGTCTCCTAGCCAAATTATGTTAGTAGGTGGTTCTGACGCAGCCCCGTTAGGGCTTCTGTTTGTTCTTTTTTGGTTTTTGGTTGTCATGTGACGTTCCAGGAAGCGTATGGTGCGATTATGGTCGCAGGGATTATAGATGTTATATACACGTACCTTACCGAAGTTTCCAGTTAATTCTATTGCGGTAATGTTCGGCGAGTCTAGCGGGATTATATGCCAGTTATTTTTCGATAATTTCTTGTTGACGAGGAGGATGGATTGTGTTCGTCACAAGTGAATGCAACGGCTCGTCGCCAAGTGGTCCATTCAAATTCAAATGGGAAGAGCCACAAAAACCGGTGATGGTGTCGTTCTAAACACATTAAGTAGCCATATGATTCATGTAGGCTCCCACAGTAATAACGAGGAACTTGTTTTTATCTGATGGACCGGAGGCACTTCCATGCAGTAGATTAGCACGTGTCAAGATCAGATAAGATAGATATTGATAAGTGACAGTACTAGTGGTTCAGAGTAACAATCAGAAGAAACTCTTCTTGAATGAATTCCTCAGACATCCACGTCCTCGCAGAGGCATCCGTCACTTCTCTGCGCGTAAAACCTGTTCCACAGGCCTCTGCCATCCCCACGCAATTCTCCTACTCCCCTAGTGACGACGGAACGGACGAGAACCTCCTTATTCTCCTCCACGGGCTTGGTGAGCGTGGCGTCGAACCACTTAACTAGGGCAACTAATCCGAACCGAGTCATCGATGAACAGGTGACACTAATGTCCCCTTTGCGCGCCTTGGGAGATCACTCAAGCTCCCGCAAACAGCCACCCTCGCGCTCCGCGCACCCGATCTGTACGTGTCTGTTCAAACATTTCGATCGTATGTTTATCGAGCTTGACAATGTACTAGTGTCCCCTTCCTGTACGAACAGGCTTTTCAGTGGTATCCTTCCTTCGACCAGCTCGGTGATCTCATCGAACGACCAGACCCCAGCCCTGCACTCAATCTTCTGAAGCATATCTTCGGCCATCTAATGGGTGAATGTGGATGGCCTCCACATCGCATACACTTGTTCGGATTCGCGCAAGGCGGAAGTGTTGCAGCCGAAGCATGCCTGCAATGGTGGCGTCGTGAGCTAGAACTTTCATCACAGTCGCGTATGACCAACAAAGAGACCCCCATGCGGCCTTTTGGTTCGCTCGTCACCATTTCTGGCCCGCTGCTCTCATACCCAACGCTCTCGAAACCATGCGAGACGCCTGTTCTTGTGTTTCGCCGCCCACGTGAGCTCAAGAATGAGGCGCTAGTTGCATTCAGGAAGGGTTTCTCTCGAGTAAAGGATGTGGAGCGTGCGGGTGAGGGTATGCCACGCGCAAGCTTAAGGGAGGAATGGCAGCCAATCTTGGAGTTCTGGAGTGAGGTACTTGGATGGCGTCCCGGGGATGGTCTGTATGAAGTCACAACAGGAACGTCAAATTAAGAACGGGCAATACTATTAAAATATTGAAGACCGACAGAAAGCAACCTTTGCGTTGCTTTGTGAAAGGTAAGGGGCATATGGACATGGCGCAGGTACAACAATGTAATAAATGTATTGTGAATTCTAATATACTGGTCGTACTTCATGAGCGTCATCAACGAGCTCAACTTGACAAATAATCGTTGCACGTGAAGTTCGACTGCAGGGAACACTTGACTTGAAGCTTATCGTGACTGGTTTTTGGAACACTGAGTGTCCTGCTCCAGTGCTCCACTGGCATATCCTCATACCCCCAAAGGAAAGATCATCAAAGATGAGAAGAGGTGCACAGGAGTGAGGAAGATTCCTGTACTACAGCCGTCGCACAAGCCTGGGACATAATCTTTTGCTAGTTGGGCCGAGAAGTGCTAGTGTTGTGTCATATCTGCGCTCCATCCTATCCTTGGTACCCACTGTGCACAGAACGCCTAGATTTGGGTTTTTCATTTCGGTGGGGAGTCGTATCGACGTGGCAGCATGGCAGATATTGTTCGTGTCTACTCGTCTTTCCCTACAATGTAAGCTCAAACGCGTCGTGTATTGCAAGTGCAACCATAACAAACAGCACGAGTTTTTTACTCCTGCATTTCACGGACATACCAGTGCGACAACGGGCCCGTCCTCCTTGGAACATCTCCGATGCGATTCTCGCAAGACTGGAAGAGATACGAAGTGAAAGGGTTGGATACCAAAGAAAGACACTCAGATGTTGCTGCTGATTCGTGATAGCGCACCGAAAACTGATTTCATCAGAGACGCAGTTGCACCCTTTGAAAATTCATGTAAATGTCAAGTAGGTGCTCCTGTTTTCAGATGTCAGATGTCATCCCCGTCAGTGCCGAGATGACTGCTTTCAAACTTGAAGTTCTCATGGCACCTGCAGTCTTTCGTTTGAAAGTGCAAGTAATTCAGTGGCTACAACCTCGCACGTACATAGATGAAAGGACGTGCTGATCGACTCACTCTTATGTCTGAAATCTGACGAGATCATTAGCAGTGAAGGAACTATGGCGTGCTGCACACTGGCATCATGATAGACTGAGGATGCCTCCGCGATGGCTCTTCACACATTTTGCCAGGCTGGCACGACGACTCGCAGTATTGAGTGACCATTGGCTTGAATTGTTCCTAGATTACAGGCGGGTCTGCGCACAAGGAGGTTGGAAACAAGCCGTCGTTTCAAACACTCTACGCGTATTACATAACCTTTTGTTCCTATGATAAGCACTAAACTTGACGTTTTTATTCTCTTCGAACATACACAACCATCAGACCCACAAGCCCGGCGGAAGAAACCAGTGTATGCGCACGAGCAGAAGGTCTGAACGAGAAATTTTGCATATTTGTTTGTAAATTAATAAGATTTGCTTTGTGCAGATTTAAGCATTATGTACATGGCGCAGATACCGGTATAGCTATGTGATAGTGTGATCCTTAATATACTGGTCGTGCGCTGCATGAGCGTCATCGATGAGCTCGAGTAGAAGCTTATTTTCTCGTTCATCTAGACAGTCCGTTGACTCGTTCTCCCCCCACACGAATTGAGTCCTCTTCTCCCTGATATTCTCCACGACAAACTCAGACCAGGCCTTCCACGCTTTTGGTTTGATGGGGACAATCTCCTGGAGGACTTGCGTAGGTGGTGTGCTAGACTCCCAACAGAGCGCTAAGCATGCCAGAACGGCAGCGGTTGCTCTAGAACTGGCTTGGTACGTTTTCACCTCCGGAGTATTCAGTAGGGTGATGAGGGCCCTTGATTGCACTTCATCTTCCTTGGCTGAGAGATATAGGTTGCATGCCCCAGACACTAGTAGTGATAACAGGAACATGAGTTGTCCTGGTAGCGATCCGAAAGGCATGAAAGCGAGCTGTAGGGTAACTTGCAACAACGCTATGAACGCGCAGAGAAGGACGGTGTAACCCCCTCCTTTGAGCTCCAGTCGCAGTTTCCCCTTGGTCACAGCGTTAACATCCTCCTCGTTGCCCCTCAATATTACAATACGAGTATCCGATAGTAGCATGCCGTCTCCGCGTGGAACTCCATGTGCCGGTTTGAGCCGTTCAAGGGTTATATTCCCAGTGGACATGATGGAAGAAGTGATTCCAGAGGAGATTATCCCAAGCAGAATCATCTTGAAGGATAACCAATCCTCAACACTAGCACAAATGGCGCAAGCTGCGATGCTAGCGGCGCTGGCGATCATGGGCAATGAAGAGTGGCGAGAGCTTCTTGGGGGTAGCGTGTCATTTCCCGTCAGCACCTTCTTCTTGAAGTCCACGATCATCAATTGCATCGGCGTCGGGCTGATCCTCTGACCCACGACCACTGGCTTGCACTCCTGGCCCCTCCAGCTGCTAAGCACGTAGGCGAGATGGCGAGTGTGCTGCATGACCGTTCCTGACCGCGATGCAATGTATTTCGGTCCTTCCTTGCCATCTAGGCCCAGGGAAAGCGCGAGTCTCTCTGAATACGATGAGAAGGGACCCTGCAACAATGTTCTAACCAGCTCCCACACAATTGCATGGCATCCAGGTGCGTTGTACCACCCATGCCATATACGACCATACAGCGGTTGTAATGCAAATGCAGATACGGCTGCTTTGCCTCCGAAAAAAATGGACACTGCGGACGCGCTATCCAGGTTAAAATGTGACCATGATAATTGAGAGGAATCAGAGGCGCTAGTGAAGAAAATGGGAGGCGATTGAAGGGGCATGATATTCTTGTAGGAAGGGAAACGGCCAGTGTTCTTGCTTTTATGTGTTTCTTGTATGGCCAGGAGGACCCTGAGCGACCATCATATATATGGACACTCAGCACCGGTTTGAGATGGGGTACCAGGTGCACGAAACTTCAGCCTCGGGGACCCCCAAATACCCGGGCGCCGAGGCTCATGAACTAGTGGGGTCTGCCTCGATCGAGTCAGTGTGGCACTTCCTCGGGACCTACACAAGGCTTTGACGTTAAAGAGCCACTGATATCGAGGGTCCTGTGGTTCCTTGGTCAAGGCTGTGATCTGTTTTTAGGCCCGACCAATGGTACTGGCCCACAGGAACCACTCTTGCTGTTTAAAATAACGGAATCCTTTATAATCGAGGCACATGGGCTATGTCAATACCGTACAAATCTCGTTAGTGTAAGTACTGGAATTTCGTGCGCTGATACCCGGGGGTATCAGTATACGTATAACTTGTACTCTAGATAAAATTCAGCACTAATCAAAATTCTGACTCGGGGACAGATACAGCTATCGTTATAACATAGTCAACATCAAGCGTTGCCTCAGAGACGCAAACTTGTCCCTTTCGAATATCAATTTCAATCACCTTGTCTGGCATCATCTCATTCACGAAATCAACCCTGCGAGTCTTGATGTCATCCATATTGATAGAGTAGGCTTGAATGATAGCACACACAGGACACCCAGCGCCACCACCGCGCAGCTGCGCAGCATAAGGGGCGGTGGAGTTCCTCTTTGGAAATCTGGGATTGTGGGTCCCGGTGGAAGTACAGGAGAGAGATAGTGAACGAGAAGACGCAGAAGGAAAATTAGGATTAGATTGGGGGGAAGTAGGGGAAGGTCGCGCAGGAGGAGAAATGAGATTGGCTTGGCTGCTAGATTGGGAGGAAGTAGGGGAAGATAGCGCAGGAGGAGAAATGAAACCGGCTTGGTTGTCTGATTGCAAGGAAGTAGGGGAAGTCATAAGAGGGGCGTCGTAGATGTTTCGACGGCGAAGTCGCGAAGTGTCGACGT